GACATAGTCATACTCACAGAATCATATCTTGCAGACAATGTCCCAGACACCACCATCACCATCCCTGGATATGACCTGTCCCACCGACAGGACAGAACCAGCACAGTGGTAGACAGTCGGAGGGTGTTGCTCTAGGAGTCCTCAACATCGACTCTGGACCCCATGAAGTCTCATGGCTTCAAGTTGAACATGGACAAGGAAACCTCCTGCTGATTACCACATACCGTCCTCCCTCAGCTGATGAATCAGTACTCCTCAATGTTGAACAACACTTAGAGGAAACACTCAGGATGGCAAGGGCACAAAATATACTCTGGGTGGGGAATTTCAACATCCACCACCAAGAATGGCTCAGCAACAGTACTACTGATTGAGCTTGTCAGGTCCTAAAGGACATAGCTGCTCAACTGGGTCTGCAGCAGGTGGTGAAGGAACCAACAAGAGGGAAAAACATGCTTGACCTCATCCTTACCAATCTGCCAGCTGCAGTTGCTTCTGTCCATGACAGTATCAGTAAGAGTGACCGTCGCACAGTCCTTGTGGAGATGAGGTCCCACCTTCACATTGAGAATAACTTCCATCGTGTTGTGTGGCGCTATCACCGTACTAAATGAAATAGACTTTGCACAGATAGCAACTCAAGACTGGGCATCCATTAGTCGCTGTGGGCCTTCAACAGCAGCCGAACTGTACTCCAGCACAATCTGTTACCTCATGGCCTGGCATATCCTCCACTCAACCATTACCATGAAGCCAGGGGATCAACCTTGGTACAATGGAGAGTGTAGGAGGGCATGCCAGGAGCAGTACCAAGCATACCTGAAGATGAGGTATCAACCTGGTGAAGCCATCAAAAATGACCACTTGCACACCAAACAGTGAAACAACAACTGATAGACAGAGCTAAACGATCTCACAACCAATGGATCAGATCTAAGCTCTGCAGTCCTCCCACATCCAGTCGTGAATGGTGGTGGACAATTAAACAACTCACTGGAGGAGGAGGCTCCACAAATATCCCCATCCTCTATGACAGAAAAGCCCAGCACATCAGTGTAAAAGATAAGGCTGAAGCATTCCCAGCAATCTACCTCGGCCTCCTTCCGTGGTTCCCAGCATTACAGATACCGGTCTTCAGCCAATTTAATTTACTCCACGTGATATCAAGAAACAGTTGGAGACACTGGATATTGCAAAGGCTACCGGCCCTGACAACATTCCGGCAATAGTATTGAAGATTTGAGGTCCAGAACTTGCCGCTCCCCTAGCCAAGCTGTTCCAGTACAGTTACAACACTGGCAATGTGGAAAATTGCCCAAGTATGTCCTGTACACAAGAAGGAGGACAAATCCAACCTGGCCAATTATCGCCCCATCAGTCTCCTCTCGATCATCAGTAAAGTGATGGAAGGTGTCATCAACAGTGCTACCAAACAGCACCTGCTCAGAAATAACCTGCTCAGTGATGCGCAGTTTGGGGTTCTGCCAGGGCCACTCAGTTCCTGACCTCATTACAGCCTTGGTTGAAACATGGACAAAAGATCTGAATTCCAGAGGTGAGGTGGGAGTGACAGCCCTGATTTTAAGGCTGCATTCGACCGAGTGTGGTATCAAGGAGCCCTAGGAAAACTGGAATCAATGGGTATCAGAGGGCAAATGCTCCAGTGGTTGGAGTCATATCTGACATATAGGAAGATGGTCGTGGTTGTTAGAAGTCAATCATCTCAGTTCCAGGACATCTCTGCAGGAGCTCCTCAGGGTAATGTCCTTGGCCCAACCATCTTCAGCTGCTTCATCAGTGACATTCTGTCCATCATAAGGTCAGAAGTGGGGATGTTTGCCAATGATTGCACAATGTTTAGCAGCATTCTTGACTCCTCAGATACTGAAGCTGTCCGTGTTCAAATGCAACAAGATCTGGACAATATCCAGGCTTGGACTGACAAGTGGTAAGTGACATTCATGCCACACAAATGCCAGGCTATAGCCAATCTAACCACCACCTCTTGACATTCAATGGAGTTACCATCACTGAATCCCCCACTATCAACATCCTGGGGATTGACCAAAAACTCAACTGGACTCACCGCATAAACACAGTGGCTACAAGAGCAGCCCAGAAGCTATGAATACTGTGGCAAGTAACTCACCTCCTGACTCCTCAAAGCTTGTCCACCATCTACAAAGCACAAGTCAGGAGTGTGATGGAATACTCCCCACTTGCCTGGATGAGTGCAGACACAATAACACTCAAGAAGCTTAACACCATCCAGGTCAAAGCAGCCAACCTGATTGGGCATCCACCAAGCATCCACTCCCTCCACCACCAACGCTCAGTAGCAGCAGTGTGTACTATCTACAGGATGCACTGCAGAAATTCACCAAAGATCCTCAGATAGCACCTTCCAAATCCACGACCACTTCCATCTAGAAGGACAAGGGCAGCAGACATATGGGAACACCACCAACTCCAAGTTCCCCTCCAAGCCAATCACCATCCTGACTTGGAAATATATCACCATTCCTTCACTGTCACTGGGTCAAAATCCTGGAATTCCCTCCCTAATGGCATTGTGGGTCAACCCCTACAGCAGGAGGACTGCAGTGGTTCAAGATGGCAGCTCACCACCACCTTCTCAAGGTCAGCTAGGGATTTGCAGTAAATGCTGGCCATCCAGAGACCCATATCCCACAAATGAATTTAAAATTTGCAAGGAATGGAGGGATATGGACCAAGGTCAGGCAGAAGGGATTAGTTTAATTTGGAGTCATGTTCGGCATAAAATCTTGGGCCAAAGGGCCCATTCCTGTGCTGTAAAGTTCAATGTTCTATGTAAGGCAGACTGTTTTTAGTAGTTGATGCAAAGGTGCCAGGATGGAGGCCAGGTTATGTATGAACTTTCTATAATACTTCACCAGCCCAAGGAAATATCTAAGCCTCTGGTGCAGACGTGGGAGTCAGGGCATTTTTGATCACCTTCATTTTATTTTCTAACTGGTGTAATCTGGTTTTGTCAACTCTGTAGCCCAAGTAGGTCATTGGGTGCCTGGAACACACATATCTCTCTTCTTAGACATATGCCTGCTTGGAAGAAATGTCTGAGGACTATGTCCAAGTTCTCTGAATTCTCCTTATTGGTCTTCTCTGATATTAGCATGTCATTTAGATAAATGGCAACCTGGGGTACACCTTGCTAAATGTTCTCCATCATTCATTGAAAAATTGCACAGCCTGAAGATACCCCATATATTGATACAAATGCTTATGGGTATTAATTATAGCATACTTCTGGGAATCCTCATCTAACTGCAATTGCAAGTACGCATGGCTCATGTCCAGCTTTTTGAAGGACAGCTGCCCATCAGCTTTGCTTATAAATCCTCTATACAAGGGGTTGGGCATTTATCCAGCTGCAAAAAGTAGTTTGCTGTTTGTTTAAAATCCCCACAAAGGCAAGCCAACCAGTCGGGCTCCAAAATTGGAATGACTGGTGCTGCCTATTCCGTAAAACTGCAGTAGTTTGTTGATTCCTTCTCTTTCCAGTCTTCTGATTTTTGCCCCTATGTTTTCCCATGAGGGAAATGGCACTGCACAGGCCTTTCAGAATCGTGGAATTGCTTCCTGGTCAACATGCAAGGTGGCCTTAGCTCCTTTAATAGTCGCTCGGCCTTCCTGAAAGGCTTCTGGGTATTTAATGAGGAATTCACTCAACCATTTTCTAATCAAAAAATGGTGAGCCAATCTCGGTGAATCTTCCTCAACCAATTTCACCCCATCAGGCTTGGGATGGGCCTTTTACTACAATCAGTGGTAACTGAACCAGCTGCTTCTCATAAGCGACTGGAACCAAAGTTGTACCCTTAATCTGTAAAGATTCCCTGGTATAGGTTCTCACTCTAGCTGAGGTCTTGCGCGAACTTAAGGGTTGGAGTTCAGAGCAACTTTTGTTAAAGACTGGTTCTGTGATCATTGGAATAGCTGGGTGACCATTTAACCAGATGTTTATTCTCATTGGTTCTGATTTGGATGTTGCTAAGCAATTTAACTGTTCCAAACCAGATTCAGGTGGACCTTCCAGGGTGTGCACTCTCGTGGATAATGGCCTATGAGTTCTCTTACTCAATTTAGGCCGAGTAGGACTCCTTTACTGTCTCAAGTACACTTGCTGGCAGCAACTACAATGGCTTGCCAGCCCGGATCCTGACAAAAATCTTAACTGTTTGGCTGAGGCTGAGCTTTGTTTTGGGGTTTTGCTGTGGGCTGACTTAGAGTCCCTCTGTTCAGGATATGTCCTGTGTGAGGCTATGCAATTTCCTTCACTCAAGTGGTGTTCCTCAAGCTCAGTCAGACTGGTGAGGGTGTCCACTTCCATCAGAATTCTCTGCAACTCATATGCTCCACTTGCTGTATTTTTCAATGATAAAGCCAGTTGTCATGCCTGTTTGAAGTCCAGTTGGGCTTCAGCTCATTGGCACTTTTGCATGGTTACATCATTAACCCACATACAAATCAGTCTCTCAGCACCTCATTAAGGATTAAACCAAAGTCAGATGCTCCTGCCAACTGTCTTACTCTGGTCAAAAATCCTAATACGATTCCCCTGGTTCTCAAATTGCTGAGTAAAAGTGATAGCTTTTTAAGAGTTAGAGGAGGCTTGGCAGTTGTTAACTAAACCTGTCATCTCTTGAAAGGTTTTAGTATCTGGTGCCTTCGGTAAAGTTAGGCTCCTAATAACAAAAAAAGCTGTGGCTCCACAAGAATTACTCATTGCTTTTCATCTGCCACAATGTCATTTGCCAAGAAAAAAATAATAGATTCTTTCCACATACTGGCCCAGTCTTCGAAAGCAAGGTCAAATGAGTCAAGCTTATCAAATAACAATATGATGCCAGAAATGCATACCCCCAACCCAAAGATGACTGTTGCGAGCAAGTTACTTCAGGAAGGTGACTTACTGTTGTTGCCAATGGAATAACCACACAGAGGCCAGTAACCTATCAGCAAGTGACCCTTTATTATTACATGGAAAGTTCTTGACATTGGTCCAGCTCTCAGAGTGTCAGAATGTCAGCCAGGGCTCCCTGATTGGAGCAGATTAACAGCTCCAGTCAGGGAACTCATATTCTATGAGGTCCAGCAGGCTGACATCATTACAATCACTACAAAAACAGTGCAAGAAGAGAAGAAATAATTCTAATAGAGACATTACAAGAGTTTGATTGGTTGTTGAGCAGCTGCTGTTAGGGACTGTGTTTCAACCCGAGGGATTTAAAAAAGAAAATAAATGTCCAAATCAGCTCATTGAAAGTAAGAAATAATAGGCAATAAATGACTTATAGCAAAGAATTGTACTTTCTGCTCATCTCCAATTTTTAATGAATAATACAAGATTCAGATTAAAGTTCCAGTACATAAAGCAACTTAAATGTTATTTAAGTTAATACTTAATTAAATAGAAACAAGGTGCAGTGTCGTGGGAAAAATAGGTTTGACACTCAGTCAAAATGCTCTGCTAGTGCAAACATAATGGGCCAAATAGTCTTTCTGCAATTTTTCTGTGAAATCACCCTTAATCCTAAAGAGGCTGCCTTTCGATAAATAAAACAAAAAAATGCAGATGCTTGAAATCTGAAAACAGAAATTGTTGGAGAAACTCAACATGTCTGGCAGTACCTGTGTAGATAAATCAAAGTAGCCAATGAAAAGGTGGGTATGTAAGCTGGAGACAGGGAGGTGAAAGGCGGTGGGGAGAGGTTGAGTGGATAGGTGGAGATGGAGCCCAGAGTGAGAGAACAGCAGTCCAGCAGACAAGGAGATGTATGATTGTATGCCAGAGAGAAAGTAAAGCTGATCACGGGGACCATAAGTAAGTAAAAATGGGTAGGCTGTGCTGCAAGCAGTCCATGTCAGTTCCCAGTTTTTTTAGTTTTTGCTTAATCTGACCTTCTAAAGAGACTTCATGCAGTAGGAAAATAGCTTCGATGGAGTCCAGAGTGACAGCACCTTCAGAGGCAGCATGGCTACAGGATTGGCTGGCCTACAAAGCCTGGAGCAGGACTCTTGCTTCCATGTGGTGTCGGCTGGAGTAGCCCGGAGCAGGATTCTGGCAATGGCATGACATTGGCTGGCAAGGCCAGAGCCGGACTGTGACAGTGGAGAAAGAAAAGTTGTACTCTCCTTAAGTTTTTTTTCATTTCAGTTAATAACAATGGCAGTGACAGTATAAACATTACACTGTATTTTATATTGAGTATACGTGACAGTAAATGATTCAATTCAATTCAATGTGATGGCAGGGTCTGGAGTTGGGTGTAGGACATAGAAGAAGGTATTCAGGTTCTAATATTATTGAACTTCATATTGAGTCCTGAAGGCTACAAGATCCCCAAGTGGAAAATGAGATGCTGTTTTTCCATCTTGTACTGAGCCTCACTGGAGCACTGCAGCAACCCCCAGACATACTGTTGGCCAGGGAACACAGTAATATCTTGAAGTATAGGAAACTGGAAGCTTGGGGTCATTTTGTGGACAGAACATACGTATTCCACAGATCGGTCAACCAGTCTGTATCTCATCTCCTCACTGTAGGAAGACTACATTATTAGCAGTCAATTCAGTCGACTAGCGATAGTAGGAACTGCAGATGCTGGAGAATCTGAGATAACAAGGTGCAGAGCTGGATGAACACAGCAGGCCAAGCAGCATCATAGGTGCAGGAAGGCTGACGTTTCGGGCCTAGACCCTTCAGTCGACTAGTTTGAATGAAGTGCAGATAAATCGCTGATTCGCGATGTTGTGTGGATCCTTGAATAGCGAAGAAGGGGAACAGGCAAATATCACAACTTCCGCGATTGCATGGGAAGCTAACTCGGTGGGAGTCCAGGAAGGGCGCCCAGGGCGATAGTCCTGCATTCCGTTGTCCGTGCTGCAGGCGGCGGTGTCGGGGGAGGCTGGCTCGTTGTGTTGCGGGATCCCGGTTTGGGGTGGCTCGCAGGTCCGTGACCTTGGACGTGATCGAAGTGACGTTGTACAAACGTCTTTTTCAAAAATTTATTTGATTTTGCTTTTAAACGGGTCCCCAGTACATTGAACTGTAGTAGCAGAAAGGGGCAGATGTGATGTGAGTGTGTTTGTGGCGCTGGGTTTGGTTTGTCGTTCGGGTCGACAGCGGTTTGCGGGGAAATCCGGAGGGAGCCGGTACCTGCGGCTTACCATCTCCAACTCAAACAGATCTTCCTGACATCGGCGCGGTTTGAAATGTCCCCGGTCGATCATTAGCCGTGCTGAAGGTTAGTTGCAGTTATTACCGCCGCCATGCCTAGGATAGTGACCGTCCTGTCCCTCTGCTGGAGCTGTCTGCTCTTCTATGCCGGCCTCGGCCTCTTTCTCAGCGGCTTCCTGCTGGTTCGAGTGGAGCTCCGCAGCCGCAGTTCGTGTCGAGAGACGCCGATCCCCGCAGCCCGGGGAGGCCTCCACGAAACGGGTTTCAGCCAAGACTCGTGTTGGATGGCCAGGCGGTTCTCCAGGGCGGTCGTGCTGATTATAGACGCTTTGAGGTTTGACTTCGCCAAATACGATCCAAAAAACAGGAACCCCAAACCGTTTGAGAACAAACTGGACGTGATCTATCACAATGTTGTTTCCAAACCAGAACATGCCAGGCTTTTCCAGTTCAGAGCTGACCCTCCTACAACCACTATGCAGAGGATTAAGGGTATGACCACTGGCACCTTACCTACCTTTATAGATGTCGGCAGCAACTTTGCATCTTCTGCAATTCAAGAAGATAACTTAATTCAACAACTGGTGCAAAATGGTAAGTTAACCAAAATGGGATGTTGTCTTTTTTGGACCCTGGTGAATTGAGTAAACAAGACAACTCTACTGGACACTGACCAGAGAGCCTGTTACTTAAAGCTGGAATTATTTCTGTTAGGTTTGAGAACATCCAGTAAGCCTTTGCAATTGTGGGTCAACATCGGGGTTACGAGAGGAAGTTTATTTATGTGTGCTGATGAGCTATGCTGTTTTGGCTAGTTAAACATGACAATATCCCAGAACTAGAATAATGACTTGACTCCTACCAACCTGCGCTTGAATTTTGAGCTGGAATTAAATGGATTTAGCCTTTAAATGTTCCTGAATTTTACAAAAATTAGAAGCAAAGTTCTGGAAAAGATGTTCAGAAGCATAGGTGATAAAGTCAATTTTTTTGGGAATCCTTTTTTCTATTTATTTGTGGAACCAATGAAATGTGGCCAGGATTTATTGCCTGTGACCCGTTGCCATTGAGAAGGTGGTTGTGAGTTGCCTTCTTGAATTGCTCCAGTCCGTGTGCTGTGGGTTGTCCCTTGGGGAATAATTCCAGAATGTTGACCCAGTGACAGTGAAGAAACAATGATATATTTCCAAGTAAGGATGATAACTGGCTTGGAGGGGAACTTGCAGGTGATGGTATTCCTGTGTATCTGCTGCACTTGTTCTTCTAGGTGGAAGTAGTTGTGGGTTTGAAAGGTGCTGACTAAGGACCCTTGGTGATCCAACACTGCTGTTGCTGAGCATTGGTGGTAGAGGGAATGGATACTTGTGGATGTGGTGCCGGTCAAGCAGACTGTTTTGTCCTGGATGATGTTTAGCTTCTTCAGTTTTGTTGGAGCTGCACCCATCCAGTCATGTGGGCAATATTCCATCACACTCCTGTCTTGTGCCTTGTAGATGGTGGACAGGCTTAGGAGAATCAAGATGTGGGTCACTTGCTTCAGTGTCCCTATCCTCTGACCTGCTGTTGTAGCCATTATGTTCATATGGCAAGTCCAGTTGAGTTTCTGGTCAGTGGTAACCCCATGAATGTTGATAGCGGGGGATTCTATGATGGTAACATGATGGAATGCCAAGAGATGGTGATTAAATTGTCCCTTATTGGAGACAGTCATTGCCTGGCATTTGTGTGGCCTGAATGTTACTCGCCACTTGTTAGCCCAAGCCTGGATATTGTCCAGATCTTGTTACATTTTAACATGGACTGCTTCAGTATCTGTGCTATCATGAATTGTGGTGAACATTGTGCAATCATTGGCAAACATCCCCACTTCTGATCTTATGATGGAGAGAAGTAGCTCAACATGGTTGGATTTAGGACAGTACCCTAGGAACTCTGAGGGTGTTACTATACATTTTTATTTATTGAGAGCCAAACTATTGCTGTCCAGATAGTTGTGCTAATTTAAATGCTCTATCACTGACTGATCAAAGAAAGTATAAGAAACGCTTTTTAGTATTTCACAATGTGAACAAAAATTAATCTATTTTATTGTGTGTATTTTGCTCCTTTAGAGAAGAAAGTAGTTTTCATGGGAGATGACACTTGGGAGGGTCTGTTTCCAAAAAAGTTCTTCAAGTCATTCCCCTTTCCGTCTTTTAATGTGAAAGATCTTCACACAGTGGATGATGGCATTCTTCAACACATCTACACAACAGGTATTCAGTGATTACTTAGGGAAAACTGCTATTGGAACTTAGTTATACAAATTACTAAGAATGCATGAAACAAAAACTAAGTGCTGGAGAAATTTAGCAGGCCTAGCAGTATCTGTAGGGAGAACAACAGAGTCAAGGGTCCACTGACCCTTTGTCAGAACTTCCCAGTTCTTTCTGTTCTGCATGTGCAGTTCTTTGTTTTATATTAGCTAAGAATGCATATCTTATTAAATTAGTGTTTAAAGTAGCTGGCTGACTTAGCTTGCAACAAGCTCTTTAATGGAATTTAAGTGTAACGCTGAAATGGAAAGGTGATAATGGAGGAAAAGCAATTGCATGTTTGTGTAAGAGTCATATTAAATTCAAAATATTAACTCCGTCTCGCTTTACAGATGCTGTTAGACCTGCTGAGTTTCTCCAGCACTTAATTACCTTTTATTTGCATGTTTGTGCTATTGGGTTTGATTTTATGTGATAATATGACTGTATGTTCAATGAGCTGTGTTTAACATCAGTTAATTCAGAGCCACATCTTGAAACTCATCGCACCTGAGCAATCTCAGGAAAACCTGCTTGGGCCAAGATGTCCACAAGTAGATTTCCAATATCTTGGAACATTGCCTTATAAAAGATGATTTAATTTGATACTGAAGAAAAAAATAAGTCTCCACATTAATTTTCAGAAATAATAATTCTTTTCCACAAAGGAACAAACATCTTGACTATCAGTTTTGTATTCATATAGAATACTTAATTTTACTGCTTCAGTCTGCCGGCTGCAGTTGCATCTGTCCATGACAGTATTGGTAAGGGGGACTATTGCACAGTCCTTGTAGAGATGAAGTCCCGCCTTCACATTGAGAACAACCTTCATCGTATTGTGTGGCACTGTCACCGTGCTAAATGGGACAGACTTCACACAGATCTAGCAACTCAAGACTAGTATTCCATGAGGTGCTGTGGGCCATCAACAGCAACAGAATTGTACTCCAGCACAATCTGTAAGCTCATGACCCAGCATATGCCCCACTCAACCATTACCATCAAGCCAGGGGATCAACCCTGGTTCAATGAAGAGTGCAGGAGAATATGCCAGGAGCAGCACCAAGCATACCTTAAGATGAGGTATCAACCTGGTGAAGCCACCAAACAGGACTACTCAGCTCCTGACCTCATTACAGCCTTGGTTCAAACATGGACAACAGAGCTGAATTCCAGAGGTGAAGTGAGAGTGACAGTCCTTGATATCAAGGCTGCATTCGACCGAGTGTGGCATCAAGGAGCCCTAGCAAAACTGGAATCAATGGGTATCGGGCAAATGCTCTGGTGGTTGGAGTCGTACCTGACACGTAGGAAGATGGTTGTGGTTGTGGGATGTCAATCATCTCAGCTCCAGGACACCCCTGTAGGAGTTCCTCAGGGTAGTGTCCTAGGCCCAACCACCTTCAGCTGCTTCATCAATGACATTCCTTCCATCATAAGTTCAGAAGTGGGGATGTTTGCCGATGATTGTGCAATGTTCAGCACCATTCGTGACTCCTCGGACACTGAAGTAGTCCATGTTCACATGCAACAAGATCTGAATAATATCCAGGCTTGGGCTGACAAGTGGCAAGTGACATTCGTGCCACACAAATGCCAGGCTATGACCATCACCAATAAGAGACAATCTAACCACCGTCCCTTGACATTCAATGGTGTTACCATCACTGAATCCCCCACTATCAACATCCTGGGGGTTACCATTGACCAGAAACTCAACTGGACTCACCACATTAACACAGTGGCTACAAGAGCAGGCCAGAAGCTGAGAATACTGCAGCGAGTAACTCATCTCCTGACTCCTCAAAGCCTGTCCACCGTCTACAAGGCACAAGTCAGGAGTGTGATGGAATACTCCCCACTTGCCTGGATGAGTGCAGACACAACAACACTCCAGAAGCTTGACACCATCCAGGACAAAGCAGCCTGCTTGATTGGCACTACATCCACAAACATTCACTCCCTCAACCACCGACGCTCAGTAGCAGCAGTGTGTACTATCTACAGGATGCACTGCAGAAATTCACCAAAGATCCTCAGACAGCACCTTCCAAACCCACGACCACTTCCATCTAGAAGGACAAGGGCAGCAGATATATGGGAACACCACCACCTCCAAGTTCCCCTCCAAGTCACTCACCGTCCTGACTTGGAAATATATCGCCATTCCTTCACTGTCACTGGGTCAAAATCCTGGAATTCCCTCCCTAATAGCATTGTGGGTCAACCCACAGCAGGAGGAATGCAACGGTTCAAGATGGCAGCTCACCACCACCTTCTCAAGGGCAACCAGGGATGGGCAAGAAATGCTGGCCAGCCAGCGACGCCCGCATCCCACAAAATGAATAGAAAAAAAAATTACTTTGTATTTTCGCCAGGTTTGTAGCATCAATTGGCATTTTAAATTTTTTTGTGTCAAAATCTTATCCTGTCAAAAATCAGCATATTGAACCACAGAGGTACCTTTTATAAATAAAAATAGCATGTTGACTCTTTATGAATGTTTACTGAATAAATTAATTTGAGAGTTAGGCCACTTTCAGGTAATATTTTTATATAAGAACATAACGTGTATACAACTCAATGTTAACTGTACTTACATAAGAACACACAATGATTAATTTGATCTTGCTTCCATTCACATCATGATTTCTTCTAAGTACATGTTTCTTTTTTTTTTATAGTGGAAGGAAATGAGTGGGATGTACTCATTGCGCATTTTCTCGGAGTTGACCACTGTGGGCATAGATTTGGACCTTACCATCCAGCGATGGCAGAAAAGCTCAGCCAGATGAACAAGATGTTGAGGTACATTTGGTGTTGTAGCTGCAGTTACAAATGTTTCAAGGCTGTGAAATGATTTCTCTGGTAAATAGACAGCCATATATAGTAGTGGGCTATATTAATCAGCAATATCACTGAAATTAAAACTAATATTACTGTTTGATCAAACTGTGTTGGTTCATTTCAACTGGAGGTTTGCAATGGTGCTGTTACTTAGTACTTTGGGTTAGAGAGGTAAATGTAATGGCAATGTTACTGAACTAGAAATCCAAAGATCTGGACGAAAGATCAGGACATCTGAAGGATTTTAAATTTTAGTTAGATAAATAAAAGAGCTAGTATCAGTAATGGTCATCATGACGCTTTTAGAATATCATAAGAGCCCATTTAGTCATCAATGACCTTTAAGGAAGAGAATCTATTGGGAAAGTACTTAATTTGACATCTGTGTGACTTCAGATTTGCAGCAACATGCTTGATTCATAAAAATGCTCTCTGAAATGTTCTCGTAAGCTATTCATTGTAATAAAGGCTTGCCTTGTCACCAATTCCCATATTCTGTGAATGAATAATGAAAAATCCTAAACTGTTTCAGAGATGTGTCAAAATGTATCAGCTAAAAATATTTAATGACCACTTACCATTTTAACCTACAGTGTTTGAATAAGTACAGGCGTCCACACTATTTTTAAAAAATTCAGTCGTGGGATGTGGATGTTGCTAGTTGAGCTAGCATTTATTGTCCATCCTTAGATGCTCTTGAGCAGGTGGTGGTAAACTGCTTTCTTGAATTACTGTAGTCCATTTGAAATGTTATTTATTCAAAAAAGGCATTTGACATATTTGGGCAAGTATGATTTGTGATGTGAAATACCTCACTTTTTATTAGTACTTCAGTTTTGGAGACAATGAATTCCGTGTCATAAAATTCATTTTTTCACTCCATACATTTTGATTGCTTAATTGAGAAAGTCTGCAGTTGTTTATTATTCTCAGATCTTTGTAATGCATTTACTTAATGATAATGTTTGGGTGAATAAATATGTTCTGGAAGTAATGTTTACTCTTTTTGCGATGATGAATGACCCTATCAGAAACAAAAGCAAGAGAAGAAAATTCTCTGATTGGAGGAGGGGGAAGAGACTAAAAGAGAGATGCTTTATGTTCTTGGGCAGGCAGAAGAGAATGGGGGCAGGAAGACGATAAGACACGGGGGCAGAAATAAGAGCGTTCGGCCCATTGAGTCTCCTCTGCTGTTCAATGATGGCTATTAGGTTTTTCTTCAACCCCCTTCTCCCGCTCTCTCCCCGTAACCCTTGTTTCCCTTGACAATCAAGAACCTATCTATTGCTGTCTTAAATATATTCAGTGACCTGGCCTCCACCGCCTTCGGTGGCAGTGAATTCCACAGATTCACCACTCTCTGGCTGAGGAAATTTCTCCTTATCTCCGTTCTGAAGGGTCTTCCCTTTACTAGAAGGATGTGCCCTTGGTCCTAGTCTCTCCTGGCAATGGATACATGTTCCCAACATCCACTCTGTCCAGGCCATTAAAGTATTCTGTAAGTTTCAATTAAATCCCCACTCATCCTTGTAAACTCCATTGAGTATAAACCCTGAGTCCTCAAACTTTCCTCATATGTTGAGCCTTTCGTTCCTGGGATCATTCTTGTGAACCTCCTGTGGACCTGCTCCAGGGCCAGTACATCCTTCCTGAGGTATGTGACCCAAAATTGCTCACAATACTCTAAGTGTGGTCTGCCCAGACCGTTATAAAACTTCAGAAGTACATCCCTGCCTTTATATTATAGTCCTCTTGAGATAAATGCCAACATTGTATTTGCCTTCCTAACTACTGACTCAACCTGCAAGTTTACCTTAAGAGAAACTTGGACTAGGACTCCCAAATCCCTTTGCACTTCAGATTTCTGAATTTCCTCCCCATTTAGAAAATAGTCAATGCCTGTATTTTTCCTACCAAAGTGCATGACCTCACACTTTCCTACTTTATATTCCCCCTGCAACTTCTTTGTCAACTCTCCTAACCTGTCTAAATCTTCCTACAGCCTCCCTGTCTCCTCCATACACACTTCTCCATCTATCTTTGTATTATCTGCAAATTTATTCAGCATGTCCAGAAGAGTTCCAGCATTTCTGAGTTGCTGGATTGGGTACTTACCAGGTCGAAGTGGAATGTCGCCATTGGTTTGGAAGATGAACTGATGTTGGTGGGGGGCACCTGAGAATGAAGAGGGGGAAGTAGTAGTAGTGGTGGATCCCATGACAGCAGTTAGAGAGTGGTGTGGGCAGATTGAAAAATGCGTGAATCTGCGAGAAATATTGGATGCCTGTACAGAGCCAGTGAATTCTCGATTGCAAACAGAAGAAACCTGTACTGAGGAACTGTTTTGACTTTTTGCATGCCTGGTCCATTGTGTGGTGGAAGATACCTTGAGTAAGTTAATGTGAAGTACAGTACCAAAGGCACTCGAATGTTTCAGGATTCAAATTGTTTGTGAGAATTTGGTTATTCACTGAGTAACTGTTTGTGAGAAACAAATCCTTTTGTCCATTGTACGATTCAGGCATTGCCTTTGTCAAAGGTTTACTGTGGTTGTGATTTGAATTTGGAGCCAGACATTGTTTAGTTATTCTTGACATTATAAATAAGTTTATTGAACCAAAAGAAAAGGAGTTTTTTGAACTGCAGTGACTATGGTGAGGATATGCCCACAGTGCTATTAGGAAGGGAGTTCCAAGATGTTGACCCAGTGAGACTGGAGGGATGGTGTTATATTTACAAGACAAGATGGTGACAGGAGCTTGCAGGTGCTGGTGTTCCCATGTATCTGCTGCCATTGTCTTTTTAGATGATAGAGATCGTGGGTTTGGTATGAGCCTTGGTGAGTTCTGATGCGTACCTTGCAAATGGTAAACACTACTGCCGCTGCCTATTAGTATTGATGAGTGTGAATGTTCAAAACGGTGGAAAGGGTACGAATTGGGGTTGTTTTGTCCTGGATGGAATTGGGCTTCTTGTTTTGTTGAAGCTGCACTTACAAAAATAAATGGAGAGTATTTCGAGTCATAGAGATATACAGCATGGAAACAGACCCTTCGGTCCAACTCCAACAAGTCTATTATTCTTACAGATAACTGAGATCTCCTTACAAATTGGTTTTTAATTTCCCACTGACTATTGGAGGGTCCATAGTATAATCCAAATAAGTTGATCGTCCTTTTCTTATTTCTCAGTTCCACCCAAGTAACTTCCCTGGACATATTCCCAGGAATATTCACCCTAAGTACAGGTGTAATGTTATCCCTTATCAAAAATGCCACTCCCACTCCTGTCTTGCACACCCCCACTCCCCCTTTCTATCCTTCCTGTAGCATCTATACTCTGGAACATTAAGCTGCCAGTCCTGTCCATCCCTGAACCATGTCTCTGTAATTGCTATGATACGTCAGTTCCATGTTCCCAACCATGCCCTGAGTTCATCTGCCTTAGCTATTAGGCCTCTTGCATTGAAATAAATGCAGTTTAATTTCAGTCCTACTTCATTCTCTACTGAGCTTCTGCCTGCCCTGTCTGTTTGACTTACTGCTTTTGCCAAATGTATCAGCCTCTGACAGATCTCTTTCCTGACCATCTCTCTTTGTGATTAAGTTGTGTAAAATTTTATCTTTCTGAAATTTGCTTATTGGCTCCTTCAAGTGAGGGAAAAAACTTGAAATGTGACACTTTGTGAGTTTAGAAAACCCTGATTAAGTGCATTTAATCAACCTGAACACAGTTCAAATGTGGAACACATACAATTTTTCCTCCATGACCTGTAGTTGTAAGCACTATATATGGTGTATGTTTAAGCACTGACAAGTACTTAATTAATGTCTGAATGCATAATCTCAGTATTTCAAAAAATGCTATTAATGTTGATGAATAGAAATAAATGATCTAAAATTAAAAGAAAAAGTGGCATCACAAGGGGTATCCAGACACTTTCTTTTGCTGTTTGAGTATTTGCAAAGTGTGTTCAAAATGAACTTGTACCATTAGTTTCAATTTAATGATTGGTCTATAGATGCCACCATTAAGAATGCAACATTCCCATAGCAATGCATTTTATTGGAAGCTTAGGTTATCAGAAATGTTAAAATAGCATTTGGACACAGAAATTTATGACATTTTTCTGCCATTGTTTCAAACTGAGCTAAACAACACAAGCCTAATTAGTACAGTACTGTAGGATGCAAATTTTGTCCTATTATTTCTCTCAATTAATTTCTAATTTTGCTTACAGTGAATGGAGAGAAAATGCAACTGGACAATGGTGCAAAATATCTGCACTTTTTGGCTACATTGCTCTGAAACAATATAAAAGGGGACAGAAGTGATTTACTTTGTGGCAAATTATCAAACTATATGTCATTGCATTACATTTTTGAGATATGGTATTTGCTAGCCGGTCTCATCAAGGGCACAATGTGGACAACTATCAGTTAAAACTTTGAGTGAAGCAGAAAGGGGAGCTGAGTGAGGAGTGCCATGTCAAATATTTGTCTACTTGGTAGTAACTATAAACATATATAAAGTTGCTAATGTTTTTGACTTGCCAGCTGGTGAGGAGCTAAAGGAAATAATTTGATGTACAGAGAAGTTATGTTCTGTAATTCAGGATACAAAATAAAACTGTATTAATTGTATAAACACCGCCCTTGGGTAGCACAAGGAATGTGCATGCAAAGAGGAAGCTGACATCATTTGGAAGGAATGGAATTATGTACAAGTGCTGTGACTGTGTTCAGTTCACATAACATGAATTTTCTGTTATGTGCAGTGTAGCTTTATAACTAGAGAATGTGAAATGTTGTCTCTAAGCAGAGTGTGTGCAATGTGGTCTCTGACTGGACCATGTAGATCGCTCCTTCTTTGAGCTTGTGGGTCACTCCTTTGACATCAATGGGGAGCAGTAGGTGATGCAGCAGCACCACCAATCTTGCCCAGTGGTGATGGGAAGAATGCTGTAAAGCAATGGCATTCTGAGGAAGCCTGTTCTGTTGTCACCATTCGGGAAGAGAATCCTCCCTCATCCCAAATCCCCGGCCTAGTGATGTCAGCAGCACATGTGCAGTCACATCCTGGTGTCGTGATGCAAGCAGTGCTTGCTGCGGTCTGTCATGTCCAGATCACATCTCGAGTCATATCTGTGCAAGCACAGGAATCATTTTAGTCTTATTGATAATCACAAGTAACAGCATATAGTTTTGTGCAAATATTTAAAGATTCCAAGATAGTGATACATTTAAAATTAGTTGCATAGTTTACCTAATTGCAACAGAGAACTATTGAAAGGAGTCTTGTGATTCAGTGGTAGAGTCCCTATCTCTCGGTCAAAAGGTCCAGGTTTCCATTGCCTCCATCATGGAGATATGCCATCACATGTTTTTCAAAGATCTAAGCCTTGCTGCACCATTTACTTAACCCCTTTATTATTGATTGGAAATTGATCTGGATTAGCCATATAAATATTGTGACCACATATGAGCAGGTCGAAGGCTAGGAATCCTAAAGTGAGTAACTCACCAGCTGACCCCCTAAAGCCTGGCTGCATCTGCACTCCTCCCCTGTGAGTGCATCTTCAACAGCATTCAAGAAACTTGATACCATTCAGAACACAACAGGCTGCTTAGTGAGTCCTACATAGCAGCAGTGTATAACAAGTACAAGATACACTGCAGAAATTCATCAAGGATGATTAGGCAGCACCTTCAGACCCCATGACCAGTAACATCTGGAAGGACAAGGGCAGTAGATACACAGAACACCACCTGCAAGTTCTCCTTGAAGCCACTCACAATCTTGACATGGAAATATATGGCCATTTCTTTACTGTCACTAGATTAAAATCCTGGAACTCCCTTCCTCACAGCAGCAGCTGGAAAAGGCACCTCTTCGTCACATTGTTGAGGGCCATTAAGAATGGCAAGAAATGTGGATTAGGCAATGACATTCACATCCTGTGAATGAATATATTTTTTAAAAAGATCTTCTGTAGGTTTAAATCATGTACGTATGTAAACCTCTAGGAAAATATTAGTTTTCCAAAAGTTGACCCTTGGATTTTTGCAAAAGAAATTCGTTTCTAAAGTTCAACTTTTACACTAATATATAGGACCCTTAGAAGGAAGAGAAGCTACTCTTGGTATATGTGGTTAGTATTTTCTTTGGTTCTGTGTGTGTCTGCATGGAATGATACTTCTGCATAGGTGTAGAATTACTTTCTTTGCTTTTCTTTGTTACTTGATAGGTCACTGATTGGCCAGCTGCAGAATGATACCTTGCTGGTGGTCCTAGGTGATCATGGAATGACAAGTACTGGAGATCATGGGGGTGAAAGTGAAGCAGAAGTCAATGCAGCACTATTTATTTATAGCACAACTCCACTGTTTGAGATCAAACATGTTGAAGTAAGTATTGCTGAGAAGAACATTTTATGCATCCTGCTGTTGTATTGTCAGAGATGTGGTTTGAATGTATCCTGACTAAATGAAATACAGGTGATGCCCGTTATAGTTTCTCCTATTCCGGTACATGATTTAATATATAAACGCATAGTTCACTTGTGGACCATTATTGTCCCCAACAAAGGATTATCCCAAATGCTTTCAAACACCTCTCAGCACATTGCAATTCTTGACCCAGTGGTAAGTTAAACTGCATTTGGTCTGCTATGGTGAGTTTATGATAGGAGGACATTTTGATGAAGCTGGAGAGTAGCAGGCTGAGACCCATTCACCTTGATAACATTCTTTCCCCACCAACAGTTGAGATACATCAACATGCAAAGAAGTACATGTTTAAGGGTTTCATTCTGTGCTACTAGTATTCACCCAGCAGTGGACAAGGGTCTTATCATGTGGAGAGTGTAACAAATGAATGCATGTTGATTTGCTTGTTAATTCCATGTTGAAGTGGTAGGGGGTCCCCCATCCAAAGACATTCAGTGCCTGATCTAAGGACCTGCATTAGGAAGTTGGGGGATGTTAATGAGAGCTAAACTCTGTCATTAGAGTCATGTAGCACAGAAACAGACCCTTCGGTCCAACCGGTCCATGCCGAACATAATCCTAGACTGAACGAGTCCCACCTGCCAGCTCCTAGACAATATCCCTCGAAACCTTACCTATTTATGTACTTATCCAAATATCTTTTAAACATTTTTAACTGTACCTACATCCACCGCTTCCTCAGGAGGTTCATTCCACATGCGATCCGCCTTCTGTGTAAGAAGAAATTGCCCTTCATGTCCTTTTTAAATCTCTCTCCTCTCATCTTAAAACTGTGCCCCCTAGTCTTGAAATCCTGCATCCTAGGAAAAAGACAACTACCATTAACTCTATCTATACCCCTCATTATTTTATAAACTACTATAAGGTCGCCTCAACATCCTACACTCCAGTGAAAAAAGTCCCAGCCGATCTAGTCTGTCCTCAGTGCAGAACCCCTCATTGTTGCCAGCCTATCGAGTACCTAAGTCAGACCAGATGTAGCAAGTCTTCCCAGAAAGAGATGAGGTGGGGCCCTCGCAGCTCAGCAGCTATCAGCTGAGATCCATTTACCAGTAGTATGAGAACAATTCTTGCCATTTCAATGGCGCATAACTTTTGATATAACCAGTAATGTTTAATGTTAAGTGTTTGTACCAGTTTCTGTAAAATAAGTTGAATTTCCTGCACAGAGTCATACAGCGCGGAAACAGATCCTTCAGTTTAATGCTTCCACGACAACCAAGTTTCCCAAACTAAATCAGTCTCACTTGCTTGCATTTGGCCCATGTCCCTGTAAATCCTTCTGATTCATGTAGCTGCCCAAATGTCTTTTAAATGTTGTAACTGTACCTGCATCTACCATATCCTCTGGCAGTTGATTCCACACATGGGAGATGATGGTGTAGTCGTAATATCGCTGGACTATTAATCTGGAAACTCTGGTAATGTTCTGGTGACCTGGTTCAAATCCCGCCACAGCTGATGAAAAGAAAATCTGGAAATAAGAGTCAAGTGATGACCGTGAATCCATTGTCGATTGTCAGAAAAACCCATCTGGTTCACTAATGTACTTTAGGGAGGGAAACTGCCATCCTTACCTGGTCTGGCCCACATGTGACTCCAGATCTACAGCAATGTGGTTGACTCTGAACTGCCCTGTGGACTTTTGGAATGGGCAATAAATGCTGGCTAGGCCAATGCCCACATTCCATGAATGAATTAAAAAAAATACCCTCTGTGAAATAGTTGCCCCTCAGGTCGCTTTTAAATCTTTCTCCTCTAACCTTAAAAATATGCACCCTGGTTTTGAACTTGCTCACCCTAGGGAAAAGACCTTTGCTATTCATGATCTTATAAACCTCTATAAGGTCACCCCTCAAACCTCCTACGCTCCAGTAAGAAAGCCGTAGCGTATCCTTATAACTCCAACCTTCCAGTCCCAGTAACATTCTGGTAAATCTTTTGTGAATTCTCTCCTATATACCAGATCTCTCTGTTTGGGGCGGCATCTTGGCTCAGTGCTTAGCACTGCTGTTTGACAGTGCCAGGGACCAGGATTTGATTCTACCTTTGGCCGACTCTCTGTTAAGTTTGCACATTCTCACTGTGGGTAGATTTCTTCTGGGTGTTCCGGTTTCCCCTCTCAGTCCAAAGATGTGCAGATTAGGTGGATTGGCCATGCTAAATTGCCCATTGTGTCCAGGGGATGTGCAGGTTAGGGAAATACGGGGTTACAGGGATCAGGTAGAGGGGTGGATATGAGTAAGATGCTCTTCGGATGGTCGCTGTGGACTCGATTGGCCAAATGGCCTGTTTTCACACTTTAAAAAAAGACATGAGGGGGCAATTATTTTTACGCAGCGGGTGGTTCGTGTGTGGAATGAACTTCCGGAGGAAGTGGTGGATGTGGGTACAATTACAACATTTAAAGATATTTGGATAAGTATGTGAGTAGGAAAGGTTTGGAGGTATATGTGCCAGGAGCAGTCAGGTGGGACTAGTTTGGGATTATGGTTGGCATTGTCTTGTTGGACCAAAAGATCTGTTTGTGCTGTATGTCTCTGACTCTCTAGGGTTTCTGTGGTCTACGGTTCTAATTTAATGATATCTTTCCTATAGCAGAGCAGAACTATACCCAGTACTCCAAAAATGGCCCCACCAATGTACAGCACAACCTCAGTACGATGTCCTAAATCCTACACTCAATGGTCTGAGCAATAAAGGCAGGCGTGCTAAATACCTTCTTAACATGTCTACCTGTGATGTAACTTTCAAAGAACATGTACCAGATCTCACTGTTTGACAAGACTACCTGGGGCCCTACCATTAATTGTATAAGCCTTGCCCTTGCTGGTCTTACCAAAATGCAGGACTTCACATTTATCCAAATTAAACTCCATCTTCCACTCCTCAGCCCATTGGCCCAATAGATCAAAATCCTGTTGCAATCTTAGATAGCCACCTTCACTGTCCACTATAGTACCAATTTTGGCGTCTTCTACAAACTTGCTAACCATGTTTCTTACGTTCTCATCCAAATTGTATATAAATGACAAACAACAATGCACCCAGCAGCAATCCCTGTGGAACACCTCTGGTCACAGGCCTCCAGCCCGAAAAACAACTTTCCGCTACCATCAAGCCAATTTTTTATCCATTTGGCAAGTTTTTCTCGAATCCCATGTGATTTAAATTTACTAACCTGTCTATCATCCGGAACCTTGTCAAAGGCTATGTTAAAGTCCATGCAGACAATATTTACTGCTCTGTGATCAAGCCGATTACATCTGTAAATTATAAATGGAACAAGGCCGGTCAGTGAGATTTCTCTTTGACTGGCAATAAGCTGGTAAAACACAATTGACCATCTGTGTTGAAAATGTTCTGTGATACTTTTCTTCCTGTTAAATATGTGAGGTTACCTGCAAATAAGGCAGGAATCCCACCTGGCTTTGATTGCTGAGTGTTTCCAGCATTTTTATTTTTATTTCAAATATGAAGCATGTGCAGTATTTTGCTTTTGTCTTCCTGTTCACACATCACTCAGTATCAAACTTGAACTGTCCATAAATTGAGCTCTGATGGAATCCACAATTCTAGCTCCCTTACGTAATATAAAGACAGAGCTGTGTACTCATTTGAAAAATAGTATTTCTAGGAACTGCAACCCAACAACATATCCAACCAGTAAAATCATTTGTATTTATGTAGTACTTTTAATACAATGGGAGAACATCAACTTGCTAGTCCTGATAAAGAGAATGTTTGTGTTGTATTGGTGTGAAAAGGCTGGGCACGGTCAGAATCGGCATGTCAGATGAGTAATGGTGGAATGATTGTTGATGTGACACCTTCTGAAATATTTCTGTTCTGAGTTGGCAACCCTTCTTGTAGCATGTATTTTTTTAAATAAACAACACAGCCCCAGATTTTCATTGGCCTGCTTTTATTCTGTAAGATTCGTTCAGCCAGTCTGATTTTTGTTTTGTAAGAGCCAAACATTTAATCCATTTTGCTTGTTCTTTCCCTGTATTTCCTTTCTTTCAGAGGAGATACCTAATTGTCTTTTGAAAGTTACAAGCTGCAGCTCCCACTATTCATTTAGTCATTGCATCCAATTAATAATAATTGGCTGTATGAAATAAAAGTCCTACCTCTCCCTGGATTTTGTTACAGAACTGAAGTTCTGGTGCTGTTCTCCTACACACTCTCTTCACATCTTCCTTAAAAGTGTATTGTCAGGAGTGAGATACAGTGTTCTCTAGTTGAAGTTTAATCAGTCACAGATATTTTATGTTGTTATTTTGTTAATTGTTTTCCATAACAGTCTTGTGTTTGCCCCTTGCCTTTAAGTTTAAAAAAAAATAAGCCCAGGATTCTGAATGAGTTAATAAATTTGTCCTGTCATCCTTGAGGTTTACGTGTGAACCACTGGGTCTTTCTCTTAAATTTACACCATTTAGGTTACATCGTTTGTCCTAGTTTTGTGTTCCTCCTACTTTGTGCCTGGCAAGAAGAATAGAGTCTTGAAAGCAAAGAAAGAATTTGTATTTATTAGCTATTAACAGCAAAGTAAGCATTTTAATTTGAGAACAGAGACTAACAGCAATGCTGTTTAGGGTGATATACAGTTCAAAATGTCATTAGTTTAATATAGTCTGGAAAATTACTGGTAAATACCTTGCATTTGAAATGTTATAAAATCAAGCTGGACGATTTCTATTCCTATTAAATGCATGCATTGCAGAGGTGGTTATGTAGTTACTTCATTAATTTTCTTCATTTCTATTTATCCACAAAATCTTTGTCCATTTAGGACTCGAATGTCGTGTCTCAGATAGATCTTGTACCAACCTTAGCTCTTCTTCTTGGGATTCCTATTCCCTACAGTAATATAGGAATGGTGATGGTGGACTTGTTTATCTCTGAACCAAAGCTGGATGATAATCAGTATCTTGAACAGGCAAAAGCACTTCATATCAATGCTGTACAGGTACAGTACTGCAAGATTTGTCAGTGACACTTTTGTTATTAAGTAGCTATTATACTTGTTCTCATCTTTTATTGCAGCCTCAAGTTCCACCCGGCTTAATTCTAGTCCATGCTGGTCAATGTGAAATCAGACAGTTGTGATTTAGATGCTTTCCGAAAAATGTGTAGTCATTTGAACAAGTGCCATGCCTCTTTTCCAGATAATTGTTTCTGATAGTGAATAAGCAATGTTAAGGAATTTTTTTTTGTTTGTTTGACTAAATGGGAAAAGTGTTTCTAATTTCAGAAAATAGTTCAATGGCGGCCTGTTGTATGTTATAATTTTACATTGACCATGATGACTGTATTGCACAAAAAAAAGAGTATTCCAAATTCTTTTGTACAGAAAGGATAGTGGGTTGGAGTGGTCACAGCATTACTGCTTTTATGCAGTTTCAAGTAATTATGTGGATTGTATTGGTTGGGTTGTGTCTCCTACCTTGTCATGTTTGCCAGAGGTAGGAAACACCAAAACTTAGTGAGACATATTTTAGAAATAAATTTAGAAATAGCCGTAGTGTGAACTCGAGGAAATTAAGAAAGCAAAAGAGGGTGTGAGAAAACGAGTAAAGTCAAGAAAATCTCAAGCATGCTTTATAAATACACAGAGAAATAATTAAGGAAAGAGTAGGGCTCACTAAAAAGCTAAGCTGGCTGGAGAGATAGTTGATGTCAATATGGTTCTTAATGAATATCTTCAAAGAGGAGAACAATATAGAATTTTTAGTTGAGAAGTAAAAATTTAAATTAAAAGATCAATAAAATCTTTTCAGATAAAAGGGCTGAAACTTTCCATTTTTGTTCAGCAATCATAATACTGGAAACATTCTCCTTCTGAAATATTAAAAGTTTTGCATTAGTTAATAACATGTTGCTGCATGTAAAATTCTACATGAATCTGTACAAATTATTTTCTGTGTATGCTATGCCAGTCTTCTCCATTGGAATCAATGTACTTTTTATAGAATTCGGAGAAATATTTGAAAACCTGGGTTGAGGCCAACTATTATAAATGTCTTTGAGAATTAGACAGTAAGGTTTGAGAGTAAATTTGTAGCTCAGGTTGTGAACGTTGTAGTTGGTTGGCTCGCCGAGCTAGTTCAGTGTTTCGATGCGAAACATCAAACCAGCTTGGTGAGGCAACCAACTACGAGGATTAGACAGGTCAATGTCTACCTTCCCCAAGCCTTTGCAATCCTCCATAGCTAAATTTAACTGTTCAAAGTGAAATAGGATACTGTGGATTTGTATTGTAACTTTCTTTTCACCACCACTAATTTCCCCTCAGTGATTCTGATCAATGGGTCTGAGGTGGATCCAAAACCTTTGAATATTTTACCATCCTCCTTTGATGTTTAAAAGCATTCTTTACAGTAGTCATCATTGCATATCAATCAAGAATGAAAATTGTGATACTTTTTCTCAGGACCAGCTGGTGGTGTTGTTAACTGTCAATGTATAGCTAACTGATTGGAAGGCCCATTTCCTGGCTACTTAACAAGGAACTGTATAAATTTGGTAATATCAGACAAGTTTTCTCGGAATTAAGCTTGTTTTCAAATGAAATGGTAACTTGTAGTTTAGTGCTTCCTTTGTAGAGTTTTCTGTTTGCAGTTCATGGAGTTAAACTATTCTTGGCATATAATTGTTGGTAAAGTACTGGTAAGATACAGGAGACATTTTATGAATATATCCAGAAAAGCTACATCATCACATTTGATGTATATATCTGTATATTTTATGACATGTAGACATAAACGCGTTTATGTCCTTTGAATGAGATGCTAAACCAAAGCCCCAGTTGCATTCTTAACTGGATGTATTTGATCACTCAATACTATTTCAAGAAAGAGAAGGGGAGCTATTTGTGGTGTTCTGGTCAATATTTATCTCTGAAACACATTTTAAAAAAAAACAGATTATTTGGTCATTATCACATTGCTATATGTGTGAGTTTGTGGACAGGAGGGCTGTTGTGTTTCCTATAACAGTTATAATTCTTCAGAAGTGGTTCATTGGCCGTAAAGCGTTTTGAAACATTTGTCATCTTGAAAAGCGCTGTGTAAATCTAAGTTTTCTTTTCCATCCATCTTATATTGTTGTATAGGTGAATCGATTTTTGGAATCCTACTCTAATGCTGCCAAGGATCTTCCTGTGACAAAGCTGAAATATCTGAAGGAATTGTTCTCCTCTACAGTGGCGGAGTATAATGACCTGATTACAGTCATTCAGAAGTCTGAAAAAATTGTTCCTGACCAAGATTTTCATGCAAGGTTTCAAAATCTGTTAATCGCACAACAACGTTACTTGAGAGAGACCAAAGAAGTGTGTCGAGAATCATGGGCACGATTCAACCCAGCACACATGCTTTATGGTATTGTACTTTTAGCAGCAACCTGCATACATTGTTTTCTGGTATCAGAAATTGCATCAACATTTGAATCTTTGTACAAGCAGCTACTTTTGTATCCAGTTATCTGGGGTCTGACAGCTGGATTAACAGTTTATATCTGGATGCTGATATCTGGCATTACAGTGGAACCACTGATGATATGTTGTTGGGTTGCAATTGGATCACATGTGAGCTTTCATTGGAACTTCTGGAGATTGGAATGCAAGAAACATAATCTTTCAAATGAACTAATCCAAAGCTCCAACATTTGTATTCGACCAGAGTGGAAAAGTTGGCTTAAGTTTTTTATACCTTTGGGAATTCTACTATTACGATGCCTGGCTATGTTTTCTAATAGCTTTGTAATAACTGAAGGGCAAGTAGTATCATTCCTTTTGAAATCTCTTGTAACTTTTACTGTCTTGAAACTAAAATGGAATGGAAAACTTACCAGTTATGGTTTAAATACATCATTTGTACCAGATATACAAAAGACTTCTGGTTCTGTTTCGCACAAACGAGAATCTTTTTATTTAATTGTGTTCATGGTGACCTTTGTGGTCTGCATTCTTTTTTCCAGCAATTTTTATCACTGTCGGGAAGAAATTGCAGACTGTGAGCCTTCCCCATTTCTGAAACCTTTGTCAAGGATAAGTAATAGTCAGCAAAAGAACTTCCATTATATCCTGTCCGTGTCGTCACTTGGAGCCTTGGTCTACCTCATACGAAGATGGTTCCTTCATTATGGCAACCTGAATAGTTCACACTTAGTTGTGTTTTTTATACGTTTGGGTTTCCCATTTATTGTATTTTGTTTATGCTGCTATTGGGCTGTGAATGCTGCTTCAGAAGAATCCTTCATTAAACTTCAAGATCTGACTAAGAAGATTGTGGTAATTATCCCATGCATTGTCTTTGTGCTGGTAATAACAGGCTTCCTTATCGTCCTATGGAATCCGATTACTGTGTTCCTAAAAGACAATATGGAGTCTGATGAAGCTGTTGCCCCTCCCTACAAAGGCTGTATGGAAACGGAAGTTGACTGTCTACATGTAGTCCCGTTGATCTACCGTAAGATGCAGAAAGCTATGAGCGTAAATTTTAACGACAATCAAACAAAGACTCGGACAGTGGCCGCTTATGGCTTAGGAACTGTATATTCTGCTGCAGTCATCACTGTCGTTGCTCTTTTGACATTGTTACTTATTATGTTGCATAATGAGAGAATGTCACTGGCTTTCCTGCTGTTATTCTTGGAGGGATTTTCTTTCCTTGAGATACATGGTACAGCAAGGAACCTTTCTTTACAATCTGATAACACTGGTATGTAGTGGCTTCAATTAATATATCATTTAAAAGCACATCTTGAGTAAGTAACAACACTTCTCAGGGCTTGTAAATAATATTTTGCTTTGATCGAGTTTCAGTGCAACATGTTTTATATTTAAGCTGAATCATCTCGGTTGTGCAAATCTGTGTTTTTTTTAATATCTCTCTCATTGTGCCTATGAGCTCTAACATATAAAGTTCCATTGAGCCAAAGATATTCCACAGAATTTAAATTCAAGATGGCTTACTTCAGGAAAGATGCTCAATCCAAGAGGGGGCAGAAGAGAAGATAATATCAGACATAAGAGACAGATTAGACAAACCTGGAAACAAATCGTAGTCCGTATGTTAGCTTCTAGAAAGAACAAATTTATAACCTTCAAATGAGACATGGAAATACTTTTGTGCAAATGCTTTGTAGTGTAGCAAGCTTCTTATGAACTGGCATCTACGGAACCAGGAGTGCGCCCATTGTTCTATTATTCCAGCTGATCAAGAGGTCCATATAATCAGTGTGAAAACACACACCAAATAATAGAAATGTATTGCAGGGAGTATACAAATCACTGTTATACTTTATTTACAGCATAAATCACTTAAATAATAATGCATCTTGGCTTTAAATAAAACTTAACAGCAGAGAGCCTTCTCACTTGCACACTCAACTGACTAATCGGACATCATAGAGATTGTGATAATACAATAATCTTCTGGTATTTGAGGTATATAATTTTTGTTTGTTTGTCAAGAGTGCCAGCTAATAAGGTGCCAGTTAAAACAAAGTTTGCTGTACATGGAATGCCGGAGTAGAAGAAAACATTTAAAACAGAACCCATGTTTTTAGAAAGCGAGGGGATTATTGTGTGGAACAGAACAACATGGAAATAATATGAAATTATGTAGTTAGATGTTTCAAAGAGCTGACACCAACACGAAGTGAATGGATACACGAGCAAAACATTGCAGAAAAATGTTGGAAATACTTAGTAGGTCAGGCAGCATCATTGGAGAGAGGAACAGTTAATCTTTCATCGAAAAGTTGGGTATCTAACAGTTTTCAAAATACAGAAACAGGATATTCTCTTAAAGGAAGAACAAAAGTGTGTGTGATGGGGTGAAAAGCAAAAAAGATCATGACAAAAGAGATGATATTGTGATGGATAAAGAAACAAATGGTTTTGTAAATGAGAATAACAGATTCGTCCCCCACAGATGCTGTTTTTCTTAAAAAAAAAAGGCAGAGATTATGATCTAAATTTACTAATTCATTCTTGAATTTAGAAGACTATGAAATGACTAATTGAAAGATGAGGTGCCATTTCTTTAGTTCACATTTAGGTAGTTAAGGACAGAGTTCCTAGTGGGATTGAGAATTAAAATGACAGGCATTTGGAAACTTCAGGTCAAATTTAGGAAATGGGAGCAGGAGTCGGCCTTTCAGTCCCTCAAGTCTGCTGTGCCATTCTACATTATCATGGCTGGTCTATCCCTACCATTTTCCCACTCTCTGCCCATCTCCATTTATATGTTTAATATATAGAAGTCTACCAATCTCTGTCTCAAACAAGCTTGAAGACTGAAATTCCACTGTCCTCTGGGTAGAAACTTCCAATTATTCATTGACCTGGGTGAAGAAATCCCTCCTCATTCCAAATCGCCTACCTCTTATTCTGAGACTGTCCCCTGATTTTAGATCGCCTAGCTGGGGAAAACATCTCCGGTAGGAACAGGAAGAATGAGTGATTTTCTGAGATCACAAAAGGCATTGTATGAATGGAGGTGTTTTACCACATTCTGAGGATAAAAAAATTATTTACTGTTTATGTTACTACTTTGAATTGTGTTTATCTTGAATTGTTTCTGCAGTCAACCCTCAAAATATTTGATTGGGTGACTCAATATCTCTCATAACATACATTTGTCTGAGAGTCATTGTTTTGTATGCATAACTTGTTATAGAATATGCTAAAAATTCATTGTGTTATAGTTGTAGTTCAAATTTCCTGACATCACTTCTTTAAATGTTAGCACTGAGAAGTTGTGACTGAAGTCTGAGAAATTGCTTTTCAAACTAGTCCTTAGTTGAGATTTAATTTCCTAAGGTAATCTTACCAATATTTGGCACTGATTTACATTTTGTTTTTTTTTTGGGAAGGCTATTTCTCTGTTCCTTGGTATGCAGTTACAGCCTGGGCCTTTACAGCTACACAGTTCTTCTATGCTACAGGGCATCAGCCAATATTCCCAGCTATCCAATGGAATGCGGCTTTCGTTGGGTTCATTGAAGGACATAGCACCAATATATTGCCAGCACTACTGGTGGGAATGAACACTTTTGCATCTCATATACTGTTTGCAGGTAATTATAATTGCTTCACAAGATTCACAATAGTCAAAACCGTTTCGTTGAAATTAATACATAACAACTGTACTTTGAATCGTAGAATCCCTACAGTGTGGAAGCAGGCCATTCGGCCCATCGAGTCACACCGACCCTCCAAAGAGCATCCCACCCAGATCCAGGCCCAACCCTATCCCCGTAACCCTTCATTTCCCATGGCTAACTCCACTAACCTACACATCCTTGGACACTATGGTGCAATTTAGCACAGCCAATCCACCCTAACCTGCAGGAATGAAACCTGCTGTTGTAGTCACAGGCTACTTGGCATGTTGCGGATCCCTTTAAAAATCAAACTCATAATTTCCCTAGTAATTCAAACATAACAGTGTGTAATAAATTTACAGTGGTCTCCAATTAACTTCAAATTTACAATATGTTCAATTATTTCCAGAAAAGTCATATTTTCTTAAGACACATTATTTTAAGTTAATTGTATTTTATTGTGAACTTAAGTTCTTAATCAGTCCCTATTGCCATTTCTGAAATTGGTGACTGGGCATTATTTCATCAGCTTTATATTAGTTTTTATGTGGAGTTCTGCTGCGTCATGGAATGCACAGGAAGTAGTTGAGACAGAGACACTTTTGAAAGAAAAACAAGAAAACATTTGAAAAAGAGGGAAAATGTAAGACTTTAGGTGAGCGGAGGGCAGTGCAATTAATTCTGCATTGTTCGTGCACTGAGATGCAAGACACTTAGATTGGTTAGCTGTTGCACAATCGGATGCATTACAGTTGAAACTGACCCCCTCCTTTCCAGCAGCACTTTGAGTTATGATTTCCAAATAGTTTTGGGCGTGGGAACACTGGCAATATATCCATTCTCTATTGATGGATGTTGAGCCCACCACTTGCTCTTAATTGGCCTAGCAGAGATCAGCTAATATAGTACATTGTAGAAGTCCAATTGAGGGTTTTATTTGTTTTACAGCTCCTCTACATACTGCTCTAACCTGCTGGCAGTGCTTTGAACTTACGGTTTTGCAATTGTTTAATAATGCAATTCAAAACACGAAAGAGAAGAGAAAGGTTTTCGGTTACGTTTTACTGAATCATATACCTGCCAAAGATGCAAAGAAACAACTGAGAGGTTATGTCCTGCCAAGTTCATGCACTGTTAAGAATTATAGAACAGCTTAACCTTTTTTGTTTGGTATGCTATAGTGTGTGCTGCCTGTTCTCTGTCTCTCTCTGCCTCTCACTCTCAAACACTGACATTAGAATTAGAAATATTAGAATCCCTACAGTGTGGAAGTAGGCCATTTGGCCCATCGAGATGACACCAACCATCCGAAGAGCATCCCTCCCAGGCCCACCTTCCTATCCTATTTCTGTAACCCTGCATTTCCCATGGCTGATCCACCTAACCTACATATCCCTGGACACTATGGGCAATTTAGCATAGCCAATCCACCTAATCTGCGGATCTTTCAACTGTGGGAGGAAACCGGAGCACCCAGAGGAAACCCACGCAGACACAGGGAAAATGTACCAACTCCACACAGGCAGTCGTCTGAAGCTGGAATCAGACTCGGGTCCCTGGCGCTGTGAGGCAGTAGTGCTAACCACTGAGCCACCGTGCTGCCACAGGCCCCACACACGCGCACACACCACCTACCCCACCTTCAACTGTCCATATTGCCTGTCCTTTGAGTATTTTTGTTACTTTCGCTTACAGTCCATAATGTATTGTTGATCACGGTCAACTTGAAACAAATTGTCTTGGTACAATGGTCAGGAGTTCTTCTCTCAGGTATGCTTATTTGCTGTGGAGAGTTAGAACCGTGCAAATATTAAAGTACTTAAAGGTGCCATTCAGCTCATCTTGTCTGTGCCAGCTGAGTAAACTGGCAGCCCATTCGACTTCCACTTGCTCACCCAATCGACTTCCACTTGCCAGCATGTAGTCCATAGCCTTCCAAGTTGTGGCATTTCGGGTGCATATCCAGATTCCTGTCAGATTATTTGACAGTTTCTGCCTTAACCATCAATCTGAACAATGAATCCAAACACACTCTACCTTTTATGTGGAAAACCTTTTCTGTTATGCCCCCTCTCTAATCCTTTGACCAGTCCCCTTTTAGTCATCAGTCATGATGTTAAAATCAGTCATAATTTTACCTGCTCAGTACCAGATTCTTGGATAACTGAATTATTAGAGATGCTTTTAAATGAGAGAAAGAACTGGTGTCTAAAAGCACATTAATGAGAGAGTATCAGCCTTGCAATAAATGCATTGAAACTTTTAACTGACTTTTCAGTTATATTCTTGAGGTAGTTGGATGTCCCTTGTTGCTGCTTTGGCCATTTGTTCGTGAAATGAAAAGCTCTAAAAGCAAGAACATCAAAAAGGAATCTGGCGATGATGATCAAGTGATGGAGATGAGGTTGCGAGAAAATCCTCAGATGTTTTCTGCAGCCATGCTGCAACTGGGAATGCGATACTTATTTGTCTACGGTGTGCAGGTACTTTGATTACTGAAATTGTTCCACCATACCAGCTTAACTTTTGATGAATAGCACAGTGTACACCAGACGGTGAGTGTTTAAAGTAGAATAATGTAGTGGAGTGTAGTCAGTGATTAATTAATCTGAACATCTGGCCACCCATAGAAAGTAAATGCGTTTAGAATTATACTCCTTAACAGACAAGTTGAAGATGCCCCTTGAGCATTTCCTACATTGGAATATTTAATCCTGTCTACATGTGACCTCAAATCAAAGCAATGTGTGTAACTCTTAACTTCCCTCTGATATGAGCAAGCTACCAGAAAGTGTTTGAGAATGCAACTCATCACTGGATTTTAATATACAATAAATTAAGCTTGGCTAGTGATGTCCTGTGAATGAATTAAAAAGAAAGCCTGGTTTTGATGCTAGCTGAGACCAATGGAAGTCGATTAATTTCTACAACGTGTAAAGGCTCTGTGTATAATTTGGAACAAATATGCCTGTCTGAACTAGAAACTGAATAGGAGTGTCTGATGTGAGAAGTAATTTATGAGGAGTTGATGCTCTGGCATGTAAACAGACATGTTAGCTCAGAGGCGAATAATTTATTGTCCGTCTTGCTGCAGTAAACTGCAAGTACTTAATGCACACATGAAATATTTTGTGGCCAAAATTGCACAGTTTGCAATAGCGTCGTCGTTCTTAATGAATGCACAGAAAGTGGGAGAGATTTGGGAACCCCATGTAAGTGAATCTTGAAAGCATTGTAGCATTCTAAATGATATTATTGCCTCAAAGTCAGAACCACATTTATTTTTTCGGTAATGTGCCATCCAGTTGGATGAGAAAGGGATTTTTCCGTTCTTTGTTGACACCTGATGCAACTATCATGAGAGTCTGGATGAGTAGTTCAGAGCAGTTGAGACATGATAGTGTCCATACTGAAATATTGAAAATTATGACTGCATTAAATTTAATAACCAGGGGATATTTTAGAGAGATTTGAGGTTAATTTGAATACTTTCCCTCTGATAAACTTCTGGAGTAAGTGATTTCTGCATGCAGGCACTATTTCTGTTTACCAAAATTCCTGCACATTTCATAACTTGAATTTAGAGGTAAATAATATAAGTTAATGGTGTGAGTGAACAAAACACATCCATAACCTACCAAGGGGGAGAAAAGTAAATATTTTCATGACTAATTTTGCTTTGATGCTAGTTTTTATGTTTTGATTGGAAAAGTTAACTATGAATCGTTCCAAAAGAATGGCTTTATTTAGAGATATTTAAACAAACTGACAATATCTGAATTACCACTTGATTTGTCACAAATGCTCTAAATTTCATGTAAAACAGGAAGACAATGAAATGCTTATTTTTAAGAAAAGCTGTCCTGTATTTGAAGACACATACTTACATTGAGAGGTTTTATACTCCTCTTGAAATTTGAGGAAAATTGTATAACCTGTTCTCCTTCTTTTACACAGCTCCTTGCTTCTGTGTGCACTGTTGCTATATTGAGGAGACACTTAATGGTGTGGAAGATCTTCGCACCAAAGTATGTTGAAGATTAGTAGTGAGTAGTTAACTAATAGCAATCAGGAAACATGGAATTTCAATGAAACAACTTAATAAGAATTGTATCAGAGATAGTAGGAACTGCAGATGCTGGAAAATCCAAGACAACAAGGTGTAGAGCTGGATGAACACAGCAGGCCAAGCAGCACCACAGGAGCAGGAAGGCTGACGTTTCGGGCCCAGACCCTTCATCAGAAATT